AATGCGAAACTGTAAATCTAAGCCTTTTATTTCTTCGCCTATCAGATCATCACCAACTATACCTTCTAATCCGTGATCAGATTTAAGCTTATCAAATAAGTGTTTGCTAATAGTATTATATTTAGATATTGTATCAATTAACGCTTTTACTGAGATTTTTTCTTCTACGAGTGTATTGATAAACATATTAAATATGTTTAATGATGTATATTATAACCAAAAAATAATATTTATTTGAATTTTATTATGTATTAATATAATAAATAATAGCAAAGCTAGTACCAAGGTACATATTACGATACAATATTGACAATGAATAAAGCTACATTAGAAAATAATCATAAATCTCGAAATGGTAATAGTGCGATATCTCGCATTATTAAACAAGTGTCAAATAAAAAATTCAGATCTCTCTTCGTAAATTACTAAAAATAGTAAAACCTGAGATTCAGCAAGATATTATAAACTCAATAGCAAACCCAGATATTTCTTAGAGAAATTGTACACTATCTGAGGCTAAAAGAAAAAAAACAATTTTTAACGATATCGTATCTAAGTCCTCATCTGAATCTTCATCCTCATCTGAGTCTGGGTTCAACTCTGAATGGGATAAAAGCAATTAGTAATTATATAGATCAATAATATCCTCGACCTCACTATTTTCTTGTTTAGGTGCTGGGGTATTTGGTCAGTTATTCATTACACCATAATATTCAACTGATAAAGCATGACCTATTTTATGTCTACATGCCAATTGCCGTAAATATTGACGGCGGGAATCATTCCTACCTCCATGTACTCTAGAAGTATAATTGGCACCTATTTTTCTTAATATATATGAGGTAATTCTATGGCAACTTAAAAATTGATTAAGAGGTGCAATATTAGTATTCCTATTCTTATCTTTTAACAAGAAGGAAAATTTATCCGGTATTGATCTCTGAATCCAGATAAGTAATTCTCTTGCTTGTATTGGATTTTTTTCTATTGAAAGGAATGGCCGGAGTTCTTCTACCTCACCTTTATTTTTTGCATAACCAATACAGT